GGAAAGTAAGGAGCGAAAGTCTAGCTCCTTACCAAACTTATCTGGAAACTCTCACTAATCAGTTAGAGAAGGTGGAATACACGTATCTACCTAGAGGAGAAAAGTAATTTGCTGATGCCTTAGCAAGACTAGCCTCAATGGTTAAAATTCTAACGAAAATCGAGCAAATTCCTCTAACTATAGAAAAAGGCATAAACCGGCTTATATTTAAGCTATAGAAGATGATGAAGTGATCCAAGATGAAGAAGAAGAAGAACTGTGGTATATGGATATACTCAACTATGTCACCAAAGGAGAATACCCTCCCCATGCTAACAAAAGAGCAAAACGAGCATTAAGGCTCTTGGCTTCCCAATACGTACTCATAGACAACGAGTTACACAAAAGGGTACCTAAGGGTCGAGCTCTCTTATGTGTAGGAAAAAAGGATGCTCAAAGATCAATGAGGATAGTCCACGAAGGAATTTGTGGAACTCACGTAAATGGCAAAATGCTAGTCCAAAAGATAATGCGAGAAGGATACTATAGGACTACCATGAATAGGGATTGTCATCAATACGTAAAAAGATGCCCTAAGTGCCAAATTTACGCCAATCTACAACACGTTCCTCCATCTCTACTCTACACCTACACTTCGCCATGGCCATTCTCTACATGGGGAATTGACATTATTGGTAAAATCACTCCCCCAGGAACAGGAGGTAACGAATATATTCTAGTAGCAATTGATTACTTCAAAAAGTGGGTCAAAGCACAATCATATGCTAAACTCATTGCAAAACATGTAGCACTCTTTATCGAAAGAAATATTATTTGTCGATATGGAGTCCCACATGAAATGATAAGTGACAATGGAACTCACTTTCAAGCCGAGTGTGAAGAATTGCTACAAAAATATGGCATCCAACATCATCATTCTTCTCCTTATAGACCTCAAGAAAAACGGATCAGTCGAAGCGGCTAAGAAAAATTTAAAGACTATCATCGAGAAAATGACAGAAAATTACAAGGATTGGCCTGACAAACTCCACTTCGCTTTTGGGGGTTATCGCACGTCAATTCGCACATCAACGGGAAATACGCCATTTTCCTTGGTTTATGGAATGGATGTCGTACAACCTGTAGAGCTAGAGATACCATCTCTATGCATTGCATTAGAAAGCAAACTCGATAAAGTTGAATGGACTAGGGCGAGATATGAGGAGCTAATTCTACTTGATGAAAAATGACTAGAAGCTCTACATTATACTCAATGCTATCAAACTCGTATGGCTAGACATTTTAATAAGAAGGTCAAGACAAGAAACATCAAAGTAGGAGACTTGGTGTTAAAAGCATTAAGGAAGAATGTTCTAGATCCAAGGGGGAAATTTAGGCCTAATTGGTCTGGACCCTATATTGTCAAAACAATCCTATCAGGAGGTGCAGCAAAATTAACTGATATGGATGGCAATGAGTTCTCGAACATGACAAATCTTGACCAACTTAAAAAGTACTACCCATAATTACTTGAGTAGGACACTCAAGAGAGCTACGTTTGGCCTGATTCCTTAAGAAAGGATACGTAGGCAACCCTTTACGGGTGCAACCACTTTATTTTTTTCAAACCTCGCCTCCCAGACTTAATAACAAATTCGACAGAAAATCGACAAAACTTCGGCGTCACAAAATAAATCTTGGCGCCAGCCGATTGACCTTAGCACCAGACGACAACGCCTATCGCCTGACGCCAGACTGCCGCAGTTGGCGCCAGTCGTAAAAGCGTGGCGCCATTTTTCTGGAGAGTCCCTGGGAATATTTCGGTGTTTTTCGGAAAATTTTCGACTTCCGTACTCGAAAAAATTTCTGGAAAATTAAATTTTTAGTTTTCATTGCTTTAATAAATTAAATTTAAAGGAGATAATTTAATTAAAAAAAGCTGCAATTTCATTAATAAAATAAATTAACAATTACATTATTGATGGAATTTAAATAAAGCTTAAATAAATTAACTTTGAATTTAAAACTAAGTCTAATAATCAAAAGTTAAGCAATTCTTTAATCTTTTCTCTTTCTTTGCTATCTTCCAGTTTTTATCTACATCCTCTTCTTCATCCATAACTTTAGCTAGTAGGCATCCTTTAGAGGACCTACATTCAATTTTGGAGTAAATAGTTTCTCCCTTAGCTAGAACCCCATGTTTCTTCTCTACCCAAGCCTTCTTCTCTGTAGTGTTAGCTTTTCTCTTTCCTTTACCCTTCGTAGAGTTTTTCTTCTCAGGCATTGTAGGTGTTTTGAACTCAACTCTTTCACCCAAACGTTCCTTAACGGGAATCACTTTGTCACCTAGACGACTCTTCACATCAGTTTACTCTGGTTTTTCTTCATGTCCTTTGAAGGTTTCTTTAGAAGCCACTTCTTCACATCATTGGGCAAGGAAGGAGGAACCTTTTGGGTGATCACTTCCCATAAAGGTCTAGTGCTCCAATAAGCATCAAATTTGTCTAATTCTTGAGAGACAGGAAATTCATAGGGACGACGAAGATCCCCGGAGGGAATTGTTTGAAGTAGACCGTACTGTCTTTTTACCCTGCAGGGATAATAAAAAGTCATCCTGGACAGGCTTGGAAGACGGTAGAAAGGTTGCTTGTTGACACCAATCATCTTTTCTATTTTCCACCAAGGGACGACCCACTTGATGGTAAAATTGCAAGAGCCGAAGACCTTCCATTCATGGCGCCCTATCTTAGAGAAGCGATTCTTCCTTCTCACAAAGCAGTTTGGAGTGTACTTTTCAACATTGTCTTGAGGACTAATTAATTCTAGTATTTCCATTAGCCACATCTGTAAAAAAAAAAAAAAAAAAAATCAATACAAATAAATTAATATTACTATACAAAAATATGTTTTTGATTTCTGTAATTAAAAATATTATTTTTTTTTCTACCTGTAATAAAATTGGAGAGCTCCGAAAAGGTGCTTTTGTATTCTTCTTTAATTTATTAAGACTAAGCATAGTCTCTCCAAAAATTAATGGCATTGGATTTCTCCAAGATTCAATCTGCTTCAAAATAGTTGATATGATTGCCTGACCCTCATTAGCTCTACCACTAGTGAGAAGATATTGATTAAGCATGCAAAAAAGAAAAGCCCTTCTTCTATAAACATGAAAAAATTCAGAATAAGGTCTATCAAAATAATGGTGAGCAAATTCTTTGAAATAAACTATGCTACCATCTACTATTTTGTTAGATCTTTGTCTTTTAAGTTAAAGAAGCGTTCAAAATCCTTATAATAATATTCATTTAGTCTAGGGATTACTGCCATATCTAATGTAGGGAAGCCTAAGATAGCACCGAATTCTTTCGGCAAAGGGCTAATTTCATCACATCCTAACCTAAAACAATGAGTATCCACATCCCTGTATTCTAAGGCGGTATGAATAAATTTTACATCAAGATCTAACCCCTTGACACCATAAATACCCCCCATATGAAAAAAGTCTAACTCTTTTCTCTCCTTGACAGTTAGAGACCAACACCATTCATGAGTGAAGTTGGTAAAACTTTTAGAGACTAGAGACATGATTATTATTTTTTCAAAAGCTAAGGATATATTTAATCTGCTGAAATTATGAAGAAAATCGGCTGGGCAGGGGGCTATTTATGCACAAAATCAGCACAGTTTTAATCCAGAAAGGATTCAGAGTCAGCGCTCATCGCAGACGCCAGACATTGGTGCCTGACGCCAGAGCCTGGCGCCAAACGCTAAGGCGCTAACTCAAAACGCGTGGCGCCAGATGGCGCTGACGTGTCTATCATATGAGCTTTTCAAAACCGCGTTTTTTGCCTGATTCGAGTCTGACCAATGCCTTTACGGTTTTTTTTATTCTCTTTATACCTTTTTTCTAATTATATTTTTCTTTCTTCTTAATTAATATATCAATTATATTAATTATATTATTTTTTGGATTCTATTTAAACTTAACTTTTAAGTTTTTGTAAATCCAATATTTTTATTTTTATTTTTTCATTTTTTTTCTTTTTGGGGGAGAAAGTCGGATACCCTCCATAATAATAAAAATGACGGAATTTTTGCGCAAAATTAATTACCACAATTCCTTGCACACACAAACATGCACATAAAAATGAAAAAATAATAAATGAATGTTAAAAAAAACTCATAGTAGTATGTATATACAAATATGTCTAAATAATGAGTCTAAATAAAGGCAAAGTTCTATAAAAATTCAAAATAAAAAAAGCACAGGAATAAACTACGGCGCCGGAGGACGTATGCCCATCATGTCATAAAACAGCGTAGTACGAGGAGTAACCTCTCCACCAGCTCCATCTCCAGCTCTAGTCTCCTCGGGAGATGGAAAACTAAGCACATGACCTGTCCACCCAAGATCAACCTGAGGCTGCGGAGGCTGCTGCGATGACGAGCCGACCTCGTATATCCCACCACCTCTAAGAGCCAAGGTAGCCTCTCCCTGGCCTACCGGCGCAGCGTGTGCACCCTCAAGTGAAGAGCCTGAACCCTCCACCGCCTCGGTCCGGGCAGCCTCAGAACGACCACCTCGACCGCCAGAACTAGTACGACGACGTCTCGAGCTAGACCTCGCCGGCTCTCTCCGTACCTCAGGTCTCGTACGGGTACGAGAAGAAACTAAGTCAGAAACAATCAAAATAAAAGCAGTAATGCAAAAATAAGAAAGAAAACTACCTCCTGAACGGCGTCGTCGCAACGACACGTAGCCACATTCCTCATCCGAACGAGCTGGCTCCGGAAGGCATCTATACACCGTGCCATCGCCGTGACCACCTCGCGTGAGAACTGCCAAAGAAAATAAAGTCAGTAAAAATGCATAACATATATGGACAAAAATTGCAAATAAATAAAACCTACCCGAGTCTGGTGACGAGGGATCGACCGCTCCACGAAGCGCTCACCCTCAGGAGCCGAAGGAATCATCTCCTCGATCGGCCCGTATGTCCCCTAATAATGGATGGACATACGAGGTGGCACAAACTCAATAGCTCCAGCCTGACAAAAGAAAATCAAAGTTAGTATAAAATTACTTGGGGGCTACTTAACAAAAGGTAAAAAATGGAAATCATACTGCCACCTCCTCAGCCAGTAAAGGGACTGGAGCTAACAACGGCAGTAGCTCCTTCTCATAGCACCGCCCAGGGATCGTATAAGATCGCCAAGGGGTGCCAGCTCTCTTTGACATGCTCACCAACCTCGCGGCATTGAACATGTGACGCGGCGGAGGAGCAGGAACGACGAAAGTGTCCGAGGAATGCTGAATAGCAACCCTCTCTCCAAGATATGCGACTGCTCCATATGTCCCTAAGAAATAGCGACGCTCAGCAGTATACTGCGCGGCTAACCCAAGGACAACCAAGCCGATCCATGGCCGGTACAGCACATCAGGCTCTTGCAAAAAACGCCTATCAGATAAGAATCCATCGAAGGTAATACAAAAGTGTTCAAATATATAAGAACCATACCGATTTGATCTGATCTCGGACATAAACAGTAGACATCCCAGCGCGGTGGCTTCCCCAAGAGGCACTCACTGGAAATCTGCGCGGCGGCGGTCTTGCTGGCGCAACAGAGGGAAAGTATTCGTAGAACCACATCTATAAAAGGCAAAAATCATCAGCAAGTGCTAACCAAAGCTTAAAGATAAACTTTATGGGAGATAAAGTATACCTCTACGACTCTCCAAAAGCCGGATAGAGCGACGTTCCCCGTGAAGGACCTGTGTTGACACGAGTCTCGTAACGCTCAAACAAAGTCAGCATAGGCCATGCTGGCCCAGTCATAAGTCCCGATCAAATGTAGATCACGGACCGCAGGTAGGTAGTAAAGCAGCACTCTACTACCCTTGTTAGGAGAGAACGTCCCCGACAGCAAGATAAACACAAAGATGCGCAACCGCTGCTCTCGAGTGGTCGCATCATCCTCGAAAGCCGCCGCTAGAGTCGAATGGCGGATCCCCTTTGCGCTAAACTGAGTTGACTCTACCTCAGCATGAGCCCGAACAACAATCGGACCTAACAGCTCCTCGACCTCAGGGGAAAAGACGCTGATCTCGTTGTCAAACGGAAGCGCAACAGAACTAAACTCCAGTCCCGTAATAAGACTGAAGTCAATCAGGGTGACCATCATCTCACCCCAAGGAAAGTGGAAGGTGTTGGTGATGTCCCAAAAGAACTCCACCAGGACACGAGTCACGTGATGACCCCCGCTAGAGGCAATTATGGCCTCTGAGCTCTCAAACAACGCAGTCAACCTGCAAGACTCCCAGAGAAGTCTCGCCTCTTCGTCAATGCCGATGTACATCTTGTATAGGTCGCCCAAGGTATCGCAGCCCGAGCCATGGCAGCACGTCCTACCAACTGTGATCCCACGTTGCACCCTCTCAGAAATGTGGTGGACGGGAGAGAAGTACAGGGTCTGCTCGTTCCACTCAGGGAGAGGACAGAGAGAAGTGGACGGGTCGGCGTCGTCCTCTGTCGTGCTCCCTTCGCACGTCTCTAGACCGTGAACCCGAACCTCGCTGTCTATCCATACTACATTGTGAAAAATTGACATAAATTAAGGTTCTATAGTATCTAAGGTTCGCCTAGCCGCATGGTACTATGTTCGCAAAAACAGTGTACGTAGTACTAAAACAGAGCACAATTTTAAATTGAGCATATACGGCATTTTTCAAGAATTTAAACAATTTCTTGCAATACTATAGTAATTAATGTGACAAATTGGAGAAGAATTGCTAGCAAAAACATCAAGAACAAGCCACATTGTCTTCCCGACCTTAAGAGGTCCAACAATGGTGATTTGTTCGTTTCTTCACCAAATTGAGTCAAAAAAGTCTCAAATTACTCCCAAGGCAATATATAAACATAATCGAGCAATTTCATGGAATAAATTTTGACAAACAAAGTGAATTAAGCAATTCAAGTTTCGAATTTTTAAGAAATCTGTGAACAAACTTGCGTGAAATTCATTAAAACCGGAGTGAGTTTGGAAAAAACTTACATAGATCAGGAAAATGGATGAAATAAGCTTTTATTTGCAATAAATTTGAGCGAATTTGGTTGAGAAACGAGCAAGAACGGATAAATTGAAGTTCCTGGCGATTTCTCGAGCAAGAATGAGTAGCAGCAGCGAAAATGTAGAAGAAAGGGGTATATATGGAAATCCCGACTCTAGCACCAAGCGACAAGCTTTGGCGCCAGATGATAAGGCTAGGGCCTGGCGCTAGTGCCATCGCCTATCGCTAGAGCCAAATATGCGGCGCCAACAATATTTCAACGGCGACAGACTGTTCATCCACTCAGTGCAGTTATTTCAACTTCATGCAATATTTTGGGTTCCTTGGTACGCCAGTTAGCCCCTCTGAGCAATTTGACAGGATTTAGTAATCAGCTCGATTACAATTGCGTAAAGTGATCGACCTGATAAATGATCGTCTCACTTAGCTTAAAGCACCTAAGCATTGACTCATCGCAAGGCACCGACATAATGGTTCATACAGCAAAAGCACCGACATACTGGTTCAAAAATTCAGCAAAAGCACCGACATACAGGTTCAAAGGCAGCAAAAGCGCAGACGTACTGGCATAGCGGAAGCAAAGTTCAAGCGAGCTTTTCAAGATCGACAAGCATGGGTCTTTGGTAATTTTCCTCGGGAATATTATCACAACAAATGAGGATAGCTTCAAGCGAGGATACCTTTGGCAGCGTTCCCTAGCTTGCGGAGAGTTGTCACAAACAACTGGAGGTGATTTCAAGCGAAGTTGTTTTCGATCGTATTCCCTAGCTTGCGGAAGATGGTCACAAAGTACTAGAAGGTGGTTTCAAGCGAAGCAATCTTCGGTGGGGTTCTCTAGCTTGCAAAAGTCTATCATGGCAGAATTGGAGGCAGTTACAAGCGTATCAGTCTTCAGGCGACATTCTCAAGCTTGTAGGTGGTCGTCAAAAATACAGAAATACAACAATACAGCAGCAAATCGGAGACGTGTGCTCGACAGTGCAAGATACGCGTTTCTTAACTCTCTTATTTATTTAACTAAAGTTAGTTTGCAAGTATCGGTGTTACAAGAGTGATTTAGGATCGCAGAACGTTCTAAATAATTCTCCGTCCCTGTCGATACTTTGACTTTTGTTTTCGAAACTTGCGTTTCTCCAAACTCAGTCAAAGTGGGGGCTTCTGTAGACACCCATTTGTGTCTCCCCAAAACCAAACCCGGTGATGAGTACCTTTCACATCGAATCATAATCGGATGAAGTGAAAGTTTGGAAAGTCTAGTGTTGCGGATAGTTTTAATTTCTTTTCTTTTCTCTCTGTTTGGTCAGCCAATCTAGTTTGTTTGGTCCATAGTATGGGTCCAATAATGGTGTAGTTGTATGGGGCTTGAAAAGAGCTTTCCAAAGATATATTATAAGCCCAATTCCGATGAATAATGAGGAAGTTATGGTCAAATTACTAAACTAGGCCCGGTTTGAGCCTTATATGCGGCCCAATGATCTAGAGGAGGGCCTAATATGGATTTATCATTCCTAATGCAATTAGGATTGGTTTTAGTCTTCTAGATTCTTCTAGAAGGTTCTTTTCATTCCTAATTCAATTAGCATTGATAAATTGACTTTTGTTGACTTTTTAGAGTTTTAATCAAAATAAAAGAGTGTTTTTACAAAAAATACGATTTTGCCCTTCTGTACGGCTAAATTTTATCTGAATTGAGAAAACGCGTGAAAAAATTAATCAGCGCCTAACGACAGACATTAGCGCCTCGCGCTAATGCCTGGCGCCTAGCGTTAGCCTTAGCGCCTGGCGCTAACTTCTTTTTTCCTCGTCGAAACTCTAATTTGTTTGTTTATCCGTTTGGCTGGTTTTCTCTATAAATAGCCTCCTAAAACCTCCGTTTTTCATCACCAATTCTCATAAAATATAATAATTCTCTAATTCTCTTCTCTCTCGAAGCTAAAGCTTGTTCTTTCTCTCTCTTTTCTAAACCAACCTTTTTACATACAATTTCCGCATTCACAAGACCAATAAACACCTAGCATTGTTCGAAGTTGCCTTCGCCCAAGACGTGAAAAGTTTTAATTTATGAGGGTTTGGTCCCTAATCTTTATTTCAATTATTTAATTTAATTGTTTGTTTTATTATTTTCCTTGAAGTTACTAACGCGTGTATTTTGTTATTAGAAAGAGATACAAGGCATCCAAGTAAGTGTTTAATGATTTTAATTAATATTATGATGTAGAAATCATGCTTAGGTTGTTATTATGATTCCTAGCGTCGTGTTAGGGTGTTTTGATCTTCCTAGTATCATGTTTAGGGTAACAACTAAAAAATCCTAATATCAAGTATGATTAAAAGTATGTGGCTTCCTATTTCTTTCCTAATATTCATGTTAGTATCATGTTAGGGCTAAAGCTTTGATTTTTATTTCTTAGTGACATTTTAGGGTTTGTTATTAATCTCGTTAGTATCATGCCTAGGATCTCGCTGTTATTATTATGCTTTAACGCGAACATGATTACTTCTATGATTTATAATTATTTTGATGATGATTATTTTATTATTATTATTATAATTTTATGATTATAATTATGATAATTATTATGATTATTATTATGTTTCTTGATATTTATTATTATTTGATCACACCTTTCATGCATGTTTAAAGGGAATTTGTACTTGTAATAACGCTTAATAAGAGAATTAATAATCTTGTTTAGGGTTAATTTGATTATAATTCAAGTGATCGCCAATAATAGTTTTATTTGTGCATTAAATTCAACCAACATAGATAAACAGGTTTAGGGTTAAACCTAATGATTGCATGTTAGTCAGAAAGCGCACATGAATACGATCAGAATAAAGTAGAGGCCTATTATAAGGGCAGGTTTAATCTCTTTTAGGTTGGATTTGTACCTTCATCCTCGAACTACCAGTCATGGTTCCAGACCTGTTGGAGTTGACGATCTCCTAGATTGTTAAGGGGTGTAACCTTCACCTCGTGAACGGTTTACAAGCTCCTAAAACTTGTTGGCGACTCTTTTACTCTATCTTCTTTCCCTTTGGACGCCACCGTACTTAGTGTATGATCACAGTGGGGTTCAAGTTTGGGATAATGCTTGAAATATTCCCTACAATTGCAGAAAAGGATAAAAACACTGGAAAGCAAAAAGTTGAAAGGTACAATTTTATAATTTTTCTATATACATATAAATGTCCATCTATATAAGAAATAATGTTTTTAATTTCACTATTTTATTTAATGTACAACAAGACCATAATGTGAAAAGCAAACAATTCCTCTTTCTTTCCGATCTCCTTACATGATCAAATACAAGGATCTATTCAAAGATGAGAAAACCATGAACCAAGTTGCAGTAGACTTTGCACTAGGTGGAAAAGATGAAAGGTATTTACTTTTACTAATTTTACTTAAGGTTAAATATGTTATTTGAAAATATGTTCACCTATATATTACTAAATGTTCATATTGCAGTGCACTTTTATATTATGATGGGTTGAATCACATCAATAGACTAGAAATGAAAACACTTGAAGATGATGTTGAAGTGACAAATTGTGTGATAGATGCATGGGCAAGTTTTCTTAATCATAAAAAGCCAAGAAACAAGATTTACTTCTCAATAATGCTTCATGTTAGTTTTACTTCTTTTTTAAAGTATATGTGTTGTTTTATATGATTTATAATTGCTAAAAATTCATTAATTTTGTATATTTTTATGTCTATTTCAACAGCACATTATGTGCACAAATAGAGTTTGTCAAGAAGGCTCATCCATGGAGAAAAGAATTTAATCCTTCACAGAAAGAATGAACAACGAGCTGAAGCGGAATAAAAGTGATAGCATTGTTGGATACAAACAGGTATTGCCATGATAATCATATACAAATGTTCAATTATATTTAGTAAAATGTTCAATAATATTTTATTATTTGTTCAAGTCTTCTTCCCTGTATCAACTTCTCAACATTTTTTTAATTGTACGTCAATCATGTAGAAGACAAAATTCATATAATAGACAATAGAAAACTGACACAACATGTCTCAGTCCAAGCAAAATATGAAGAACAACCAAAATTGATGGTGAGATAATATGTTCATTTATACTTAGATACATGATCAATTATGTGTTATTAAATGTTCATGACTTCATAACAAAACCAACAATTCAACAATTTTTTCTCTTGATATTATCTGTTAAAAGGATTTACAGAATACATGAAACGCCTTGGATATGAAGATGCAAATAGAATTAAAAACTACATAGTTGTTTTGGAAAAGATGAAA